TGGCACGCTGCGCTGTAAGAAATGGAGTACCATACGAAAATCTGGTGGCAGAAGCAACCAGAGAATCAAACGGGAAACATTATCTTCGGTGGACAGGTGAGTGAAATTTGTAAACAACACCATACGACGGTTTGAATAAATCCCGGTGATGACCACTGATGTGGAAACCGAGTGGCAACTGTTCAAGAGCAGCATTCTAGAGTCTGCCTCCGTGACCCGAAAGGAGAAGCGGCCATTGAAGATGAAGATGAAGAGATGATCCGGATTTACACGGCGAAACACCGTTCCTTACTTCTAGTAGCCTAGGGAACTGCTTAAGCAGGTGCTATTTTAGCATCTGCAGTGCTTTACCGTGTAAATTCGAATTAATTACAGGAGAAATTGGTCTTACCGGCGGATTAGGGGTAGCAGTTCGCTAACAAACATTAATATGGTATATTTTTGTTACATGTGCATGTGGAATGAAGTATATTCGTTGGAGCTCGAACATGCTTTTTTTCACTCGATCTGAGAGTGATGCTGTTTTGCAAACATACGCTGCAGGTGCTAAAACAATGGAACCTTGGCCTGCTAAACCGTCTCTACGCTACTAGAAGCAAGAGGAAGGTACTTCGCAGTGTAAATCCGGATAACTGACATAAGATGATAAATATGATGGGGATTTAAGTGATGATTATCATTCCGCTGCTGGCAGAGCGGCATCCGACAGAACATGTGGAACAGACAGAAGAAATGTCAAGGCAGAAAGGCTGACAGATTTCAGCATCTCGACTCCACCATTCCTAGTGATGGCACCACCATCCAGTTAGAATTGAAAAGGAGACTGCCCGCGCCTCGAGTGCTTACATAAACCTGCGTAATATCTGTGCAGAGAATAGAGCAAGTCCACAAAAATTCGCCTCTACTTTGCATAAGTCAGGTCACTGTTTTTGTGGTGCATGCAAACAGCTGTTCGTTCCAACGAAGGAGCAAAAACGACGTTAAACTGCAAGCAGCAGCGTTGGCTAGGACGCATAGTTAAAGTTAAATAGTAATACCAAGTAAAGAATGACCCTATTCTCTTATGGCGGCCCATGACTTCAATATGTTAAGAAAATGAGGTTAGAGCTGATAGATAAACTGGCTGGGCATAAACCATTTACTCCAGCCAATGAACTTCCCACGTGGGAGCTGAATTACGCAGATGTCGACGAGCAGGCCAACATTCAACATTGAGGAACAAAGAAGAGACTTGCTTTCCGAGAAAAATATTTCCTTCTACGATGCAGTAAGCAGTGCCTTATAGAAAAGGTACTAAGAAGCTGCGAATACAGCAGCCATCAAAGAACACAGACTTTCTATTTATGCAAATGGCTTACGGTAAGGAGCTCAACGAACGCAAATATTTCGACGAGAACGTGCTTGATAAAGGTGGCGAGGACGGCAAAAATGGTAATGATGAATGCGGTGAAGCCGACACAAACATAAAATGAAGTTCCTGGCAGCGATGATAAAGTGAACAACTGTACAAACAATACAAAAAGACATATGCCACAGTCAACGAGCAATGTGTAATGACTACCACAGCTTACATATCGATCAAAACGTTAACAACGCGGCACGAGCGTTCCATATTTTTCGCCTTCGGTCTGAAGGTAGAGCTATCAATCGAAAGATCACTAGTTGGTATAATGGCAGGGAATGGGCGGATATACCGCTCTGGGCTTTCATATCCCAGGGAGCATTGTTACAATTAGAATATGTCAGAAGAAAGGAGGAGACTACACGTCGTGCTAGTAACGCACCTGCAGGCGTTGCTTTCATGAACCGGGCACTACGCCGATAGCATAGAAGTGGGTAACTGCACTATAAGCATTATAAGCGCAGTGAAAAATAAGTAGTGCCAGAAATGGCGGCAATCAAAGAAGCGTGATGGAAATAAGTATTTCGTGGTTTCAAGCTTTCTCTAGCCTTGACAGTCTAAGTGACGTAAATAAAGCTGCTTAACCTAAAGTTATTGATTTCATCCGCCCAAACTTTAGGCATTCTCTCAAACTAGCCGACGGATCATCACTGATTAGTTCCATCGAGGCATGTATGTACATATGTCTAAGAGGAAGCGAAACTCCGGAGGTGCGGGGTTTAATTCCACTCATGGGAAATCTGTCATATTCACGAATTCCTTTGAGCAAAGAATTTATCACAAATTGCTTAAGAACGGGGCTGCTCAATCAGTAGAACGTCGAACTCAAAACCGATACGTCCCGGATACCAGCCTCGGTCAAGATGACTCGTCTTTCTTCCTTCCGAGGGTGATAAACGAGTTTTAATGGGTGGGAAGGAGTCAGACGACTACACACTTTGTTAGCTGCCGCCGACCTTGCCTTGAAAATAAGTCACTCTCGGCTTCAGAGGTTCCAACAGGCAAATTCAGGAAAAGAACGGCACCAAATGGCCCGATCATGAAAATGAAGGGAGACCGACATCCTAACGCTGACAAACTATCTTTTTCTACAGCCAGTTCCGACGATGGAAAGATTTCATGATGTATTCCTTGAGTATTAATAAAAGCGGTGGTCGTTAATTCTTCTGCTCGAACTGTATATACATTGTACATCGTCCCCATTTTGTACACAATTGCTTGAAAACGCACAAGGAGCAAAGTTAACTTTTGACAGGCACTATCTCATTCACAACAAACTTTGCTGTGGGACAAATCAAGAAACGAAACAGCCACAGTCGAGTAAGCAAAAACTAGCTTCAGCCTGAAATACGCTACCGATTACCGATACACACCTCATGTGAGGACATTCTTCAAGCAATAAATAACAAGTACCGACATTCTTCAAAAAAGGTAACGACTTACAAACTGGCACTCATTTCATAGAAGATGCATGG